TTGGGACAACAGTGACATTGGTCAGGGAAAACCGTCAATTGAATATGATGTTGTCAATTTTATTGTGGGACCGTCCACTGGGAGACTCCCATGTCCAATGTTTAGATTCGGTCTTCTGGAACTGTGAGTTACTATGGATGGTCTTGGTCGACATGATGAACTCAGATAGTCTCTTATCCTGTTTGTTCCATTCTAGACCATGGGTCCCAATGTGAAGTTCTTTGGCCAATCTTCTCAGTCCTATCTTGGCATTAAAATCACCAACAATGACCTTGTAGAAGTTGTGGTCTTCTTTATAGAACTTCTCCAGCTCCATGTAGAACTTCTCAATTTCTCCTTCGCCATAATTGGATGTTGGTGCATAAACAACGAAAATAGAAACTGCCGGCAGTGAGCCACATCTATTCAAGTGTAATTGTCTGATTTGGGTTGTTAGGCATTCGAATGAATCAATAATCATGGCCAAGTTCGTGTTGACAAGGACACCGACACCATCAACACCTCTTTTGTCACATGTTCCGAGGAACAGTTCTCCAGTGTCGAAAATGGCGTGATGTGATTGATGCCTTCTCATCTCGGTCAGACCAATGTCACCCTTGAGAACATCATGCGACAGCTGGAATGGGAAGGAATAGGAGTGAAGATAGATGGTCGGCAACTACACCACCTCTGCTCCGCTGATGACATTATTCTAATACCAAACATTAGCCAAGCAGCACAAAAGTTGGCCGACTTCGACCATGAGTGTGGAAAGGTCGAACTACAGCTGAATCTCACCAAGACAATGTTTATAAGAAATGGTCTCATTCCTGATGTTCCCTTCACTCTCAATAGAACAAACATGTCCGAATACAACAGCTATGTGTACCTAGGTCGAAAAGTCAACATGACGAATGACCTGGCACCTGAGTTGTGCAGGAGGAAGAGAGCGGCTTGAAACGTCTTCAAGAGCATTGAAGAAATAGCTAAGAGGACGAAGAACCTCTGGCTCTGGGTACATCTCTTCGATTCCACTGTTCTTCCTGCATTAACATACACCTCAGAGACCTGGACCCTTCGAAAACAGGATGAGAATGCTATTCGGGTCTCCCAAAGAGGAATCAAAAGAGCTATGCTTGGGGTATCACGCTTCACTCAAGTGAGAGAAAGAAACCGGAGTTCAGACTCCATCGAAAATCAAGAATAAGGGACGCTGTCTCATTTGCCAAGGGGTCAAAAATCAGATGGGCTGGACATGTAATGAGATTTGGAGACAACCGCTGAACGAGAGCCATTACTGACTGGATTCCACAGGACGTCAAAAGATTGCGTGGCCACCCACCTATGAGATGGTCAGACTTCTTCATCAAGACCCTGAATGATTGGTTTGAGGCTCTTCATCTTCCTAGAAGGAGCAGATGCCATTGGGCTACACTAGCACATGACAGGGACAAATGGAGAACTTACTGGTTCCCTGCTCGAGCAAATCGATGAGTAACGGGATGTCAAGTGATCAAGTGATCAAAAAAATTTTAAAAATTTAAAAAATTTTAAAAAAGGAAGTTCACATCTCAAGAGGGGAGATGTTGGCGACACATGAGTGCTCAGGCAGCACATGGCTTGGCAGGAGCACCTGGGCACTGGCAGTGTTAGGCTGGCATGAGCTGCCAATGAGCAGAGAGACAGCTCAGGAAAGGATAGTGAGTTTATCAGAGGCTCAGCGCTGAGGACCCCAAGTCAAAAGAGAAACTTGGAGCCCCATTTGCTTAGAGGGTCTCTCTTTTATCCTCTAAAAGTGTTCTACAATCTATGTACATTCTTATTGGTGAAACAGGGGGTGCAGGGCAAAAGAAAAACAGTCAATCCATCTTTCCCACATAGTACAGCCTTCAGGCACCCAAAAGAAAAACAGTCAGTGTCAGTATCTCCTGCCCATCTGCCTTCACATGCCGCCTCCCAGGCACTCCCATCAATCTGGCGGGCCCAATATTTTCCCATAAATCTGGTGAGCTGGTGGGCTCTTAACTCGGTTAATTGGAGTCATAAAAGGAATGCTTCTTCCCCCCTTCTCTTGTTCAACCTAAGGGTTTTATTTTCCCAGTTCCCATCACATTTTCTTAGTTCTCAACACAGTTTCATAATTCTTGTTACATACAGCTTCTTGTCATTACAGCAGCACACAGGCTAGGGCAGTATATTCACATGCTTGCTTTGTTCAAGTTGACTTTTATAGGGTTTCTCCCAACCTGCCCCAATGTGGGGCTTTCTAGCTAGGTAAGAGTCAGTTGCTAGGGTGGTACCAAGGGGTAAAGTTGGGAGCAGTTGATGATCCTCTTTGATATTCCTTCCTGGCCTGTGTTCCCGCTGGAGCTGCGATGGGAGAGGAAGGGATCGGGGCAGGGGTGGGCAGGGTGGTGTCAAATCTTCTCTGAGTCTGTGCTGGCACCAAGTAAAAGTCTTATCAGGACTTAGTTCCTGTGCTCACAAAGTGGGTTTGTTTTGTTTTGTTTTGTTGCAGCCTTAGGGCTATCGTTTTACTACTTCCCAGGAATTCATTACCAAAAGAATCCTTCCCTAATCTCCCTTCCTGCCTACAAACTTGGAGATCCACAGGCAGCAGTTTCCCACATTCCCTAAAAACTCCAATGCCTGCTTCTTATTCTTGGGTACTGGGATCCTAAGGATGGCATCTCTACATTTTGGGAACTGGGTGCAGTCTCCACCCTCTAGAATGTCTCCCAAATATGTGGCACAAGTGGCATCCAACAGGGCCTTCTTGGCTGATATGGGATATCACCGAGCCTGGAGCTCCTGCAACAAGCCTGCCTGGCCCGTTTGCCGTCCTCAGATGTCAGGTTCCTGGCCAGTTGACCCCGGCACACTGGAGTATGATCCCCCCAGTCGCCAGACTTACTCCCTATGGGAGAGGGAGTGGGAAGGAGAGAAGCCTCTGCCCTGACCCTCCACGCACCACAGACACCTGCCACCACCAAGAAAGAACCACTCAGAGTGGGGAAAGTTGGTGGTCAATCAGCAATCCATTTATTGGCTCTCACACGGGGGTTCTTATACAGACATTCGAGGGGCATTCCACATGTGCAGCACGTTCATCTTGTTGACCTCAGTACAGATGCTAGTTAATGATTTGTATTCCCCACTCTCAGGGCTCAGGTAAATGTTAACTGTCATGGCCCTCATCCCATTGTCCCTCAACCAGCGTGCCTACATGTGTGGAGTGCTGGAACAAGCCCCTGGGACCCTGTAAACAGGGCCAGTTCTTGCTTTCAGGGGCAGGGGGTTTGGTCAAAATCTCAGGCTGGCTGCTGAGACCCCAACACTCAGAGTTATGGAGATGGTCTCCATACTGGAGAAGAGTTCCCATCGGGATATTGCCAGGGAATATGAGGGGGTCTGTGCTGAGAGCCTCATCAAACAGTGTTGGGCATTCTTTTTTTTTTTTTGAATCACAGTGAGATACAGTTACAAGATTTCACGTTTGAGTTTCAATCATACAATGATCAAACACTCATACCTCCACCGTGCACATTCTCCACCACCAATGTCCCCAGTATACACAACCCCTTTCCAACCCTCCCTCTGCCTCCATGGCAGTTTCCCCATACTCTCTCTACTTTTGGGCATTATGGTTTGCAATATAGATACTGAGAGGCTATCACGTTTGGTCCTTTATCTACTTTCAGTACACATCTCCCATTCCGAACTATCTCTCCAACCATCATTGTCTTAGTGATTCCCGTCTCTATTCCAGCTGCCTTCTCTCCCAATTCATGAGATAGACTTCCAATGATGGGGCAATATTCCTGGCCCTTGAGTCTACTGTCTTTGGGTGTCCATCTCATATTGTGTTATTTTATATTTCTTGGGGCATTCTTAAAGCGTTGGGGCAATCTAGTCCAGGTGAGTTGCCCCTCTGTAAAGGGAAGACTGAAAAGGAGCAACAAGAAGTTTAGTTTGAGAAGTTAATCTTCACGCTTGGCTCTGTGGCACAATGGAGAAGTTAATCTTCAGCTGATTTAACAGTGTTATTCCATAAGTACACTGGACTTCCCGCGAGGGTCCCAAAACACAGGTTGCAAACAGGAACAATGGTCTGGGGTCCTAAAGGGACACAGTCAATGATGACTGATTATTTACTTCATGGACTCCTGCTAGAGGCGCTCTTTCTACTGCACTTGTGTGAATTTACCAGGCACCAGAATGTAGACCAGGTGGGCTAAACACGTTTGACAGGTGCTTACAAAAGGGCTTGGGTCACCAGGCTAGAGGGGCTTTTGCTGGGGACGCTTCTGCTGGGAGGCTGCTGCCTCTGCTAGCACGACAGCCCGCCAGCTGGTGTTAATCAAATCACTTCCAACTTCTAATTTTTTGGTTCTAGTGGTCTTTTGATCGCCACCCCACCGAACACATACAAAAGTGAAAAGGGACTAACTGACCTTGGCTAGAGGCAGGTGGGGGAGGGAGGGGGAAGGGGGGGCAAGAGGGAACCGGGGAAAGGGACAAGGGGGGAGTAGGCATCTTTCAAGTCCAGTTCTGTAAAGCCTTTTGTCTGGCAGAAGGAAGCTGAGGAAGAGTGTGGGATTCTGGAACAGATGGGTGTCAAGTTTCTGTTAACTTAACCAAAGGCTCAAGGGTAGGGGAGCAACTTTGGGGGGAATGAATGACCAGCCTGGGAGCTCACTGAGCAGAAGTCTGCTCAGCATCCCCCCCCCCCCGCCCCCCCAATAAAAAAACCTTGGACAAGTCCTGGCAGACGTTTTCTTTTGTTTGCTTTTGGCAGCAAAACTCTGCTTGGAAGGAATGTATTTCTGGAAAGTCCTCCTGGGAGCTGGGGGCAGGCCCATATTTGGAAGTCTCTCCACTGCGCCTGCGTTTCATTCTCAAAGATTCAGGAGTTTCAGTTTCATTTCCCCGCCAGAGCGTGGACTGAGTTGCCATCACCGCTGCTAGGCTGAAGGTCTGAGTTGCCGCCACCGCTGCTAGGCTGAAGGTCTCCCGCAGGTATGGCCACGTGCCTTGCATTGGTGCTGGTGCTGCTCTCTCCCGGGCTCAGCACCTGGGCATCATCAGCCCCCCTGGCGCAGCCCCGGATGCCAGTGTTCCAAGGCTGCAAGCACACATTCAACGTGTCGGTGCTGGGAGCGCTCCCGGGAGGGGGCTGGGACAATCTTCGCAACGTGGAACTGGGGCTGGTACTGCAGCGGGACTACTCGCAGTGCAGGACCACGGAGGACGGCGAGTACCTCATCCCCGACGACGTGCACTTGGTGACGCGGCGGGAAAGCGTGGTAGAGACTCGCGCTGAGCTCATCGACCGCTGGGTCGACTACACCGACGCCTGGGCCGCCTCCATCAACACCGAAGTCTCCTTCTTGTCCGCCCTCAACGGCAAGTTTTCCCTGGACTCCGAGAACGTCAAGAAGTACGACCTGGAGTACCAGACGGTCACCACGAGGGTGCAGGTGCGACACAGCGTCTACTCGGTGAAGTCCCCGGAGACCCCCACCTTCCACCCCGACTTCCGAGAGCAGCTGCTGATCCTCAGCGACTATCTGGACAGCAACCGGAGCCTCGAGGCCCAGTACCTGGCCGAGATGCTCGTGCGCAACTACGGCACGCACGTGCTCACCGACGTGGAGGCCGGGGCCACGCTGGTGCAGGAGGACCAGGTGAGGCGGGAGCTGGCGGAGAGTCAGGCCCAGGAGAAGATTAACATCACCCTCGCGGCCTCGGTGCTGTTCTTCCAAAAGCTTGGCATCGGCGCCTCGGTCTCCGGCCAGGTGGACGAGCGGCTCCTCCGGAACTACGTGCAGAACACGGTGGGCTCGCAGCTGCGCAGCCACGGCGGCATGCCCGTGGCCCCGGGCCTGACCCTGCAGAAGTGGCAGGAGAGCATCGGCAACCGCCTGGTGACCATCGGCCGGGCTGGCCTGCCGCTGCCCGACCTGCTGCAGCCGGACGCGCTCCCGGAGCTGCCGCCGCCGTCGGTGGAGCGCTTGGAGGCGGCGGTGCGCAACGCCATCCACCGCTACTACGCCGTCAACGCGCACCCAGGCTGCGTGGAGCGCGAGGAGCCCGCCTTCAACCCCCAGGCCAACGTGGACGACGGCTCGTGCGCCCACGCCCGCGGCGCCAACTTCAGCTTCGGAGGCTTCTTCCAGGAGTGCGAGGTGCTGAGCGGGGCGGACGCCGAGCGCTTCTGCCAGGCGCATCACACCCCGAATCCCCTCACCGGGAACTCCTCTTGCCCCGCCGAGTACCAAGCCTTCAGCCTGTACCGCGGCCTCAAGACCTGGAGCGCGCCCCGGCAGGTGTGCAAGAAGAAATGCAGCAAGTGCTGGCTCTTCTTCCAGTGCTGCCAGGACGTGTGCAGCCCCGAGGACCAGAGCAACAGCGCGCATCTCGCCGCCTCCTGGTGCGTGCCCCCCGAGTTGGCCTCCCCGCCTCCCCTCTCTGGCTTCCTCTTCGGAGGCCTCTATAGCCCCGGGAGCCCCAACCCGCTCACCCAAACCCAGGCCTGCCCAGACCACTTCTATCCCCTGGCCCTGCTGGAGGATCTGAAGGTGTGTGTCAGTAGCGACCGAGAGCTGGGCGCGGCACAGGCCGTCCCCTTCGGAGGGTTCTTTAGCTGCCAACAGGGTAACCCTCTGGCCGGAGTCCTGAAGGGTCAGAGCCCAGGTTTCCTGCAGGAGATGTTTTACCAGGACAGCGCCACTGACCATCCCATGAAGTGCCCAGCAGGTTACAACCAGCACCAGGCGTTCGTCAGTGACGGCTGCCAGATCCTCTACTGCCTCAAGGCAGGCGCCTTGCTGGAGCAGCAGCCCCTGGCCTTGCGGCTACCTCCCTTCCTTCCCCACCCTGCCCTCCTCCGGAGCAATAGAACCCACAGCTTCTCACAGCCAGACAGGGTCGTGGCCCACCGGAGCTCAGAGCCCAGCAGCTGGGTCATTGCCACCACCTTACTGGCCGCGGTGGTGGCTGTCCTGGGAATAAGCTTTGGCCTCTGGAGATGCTACAGGAGTCGGGTCTGGAGGAAACACCAGGGCTATGAGGGAATAGTTGAAAACGCAGATCCTGTGCCTGAAGGTACAAGGTGAGGATTCTGTTACCAGCTTAGAAGTAGTCAAACAGGTCATCCCTGATTGTATCTTTCATGTCCATTTCGTTCCTTGCATTGCTTAGGTCAAGAGTATAGAATTGGTCCCACTTTCTGAAAAGGGCACCCGTAAAGGCTTCACAGCAAACTCTACCTCCTCCCTGCCCCCCCCACACTTTAAGTCTAACACAAATGCAGTTCCTGTCTTTAAAAAACCCCAGAAGCCCCACCATTCTCTAAACATGGTGCAGGCTTCCTTCCTACACCCAATCAATAAATCTGTTTGGTTCAAAAAACATGCGTGATTCTGGTGGCTTGTGTGTGTGTGTGTGTGTGTGTGTGTGTGTGTGTGTGTGGTGGGGGGAGGTGAAAGGGGGGGAGAGGGGCTGGGGCTGGTGTGGGGCAGTGATTAATAGTGAAGATGAAGTCATTGACTTCAGGACATATAATAACTTTGAAGTTGGTTTTTTCTTTTAGTTTTGGTAATTGTTATTGTAGTCACGATGCCGAGTTGTGTTTCCTTGTACCCAGTGATCCATAAGTTCACTCCTGTTTTGCCTAAAAGTGCTTAAAAAGAAAGAACGAACGAAAGAAAGGAAAGAAAGACAGAAAGAAAGAAAGAAAGAAAGAAAGAAAGAAAGAAAGAAAGAAAGAACAAATGTGGGAAAGAATATGCAGTACACTACACGAATGTAATGGAAGAACTGGTTTGTGAAGTTGTGTTTCAGTTATATGTTAAGTTGATCACATAAAGTCCCCTTCTCATTGTTTTAGGCTCACAAAAAAATAGCAGTTTTGAATGGTTTATGTTCAGATAAATGGGTCGATGAACTAGGCCATCATATTGAATATATCTCAAACTGTGATCACAGCCCAAAATTTTGAAAACTACTCTTATTCTTGGCTGTTTCATAAAGTCTAACTTTGGAAAATTTACGAGTCCTCACTCCTCTGTTTCAACCCCACAGTCCCCATGAAAGACCTTCCCTTTGGAGGCTCTATGGGCTCCGGTCTGCCAGCATAAATTTTCTCAGCTGAGACAACAATTTTCTGAAGACCCAGGGAGTGGTCTTTGAGTTTTTAATCAAGTTCAGTGCTTGTGAGGAAAGTACAATAATGCTGAGGCGATGGGTAGACATGTAGCTAAGTATGGAAAGTTCTATGATCAGGATTCAGAGATGAGTGTGGCAGACACCCAGAAAACAAAATTTCCTTGTGAAAACATGCAACTGCAATCATTTCATTGCAATGATTGCATTGCAATTGCATGATGAAATCCTGGGTTCGACCCCACTAGCACCTCAAAAAAGTGTATTTTTGTCTGATCTTCATGGTCTGGAGAATAAAAATGAGGTATTTAGACTTTTTAATTTATTCATTCATTCTTTGGGGACTCTTTAGAAGAATGGCCCTTTACTAAGTGTTGAGGATTTTTCAAAACTTACATAATTTTTTTTTCTTTTTGGGTCATACCCGGCTTGATGCACAGGGGTTACTCCTGGCTCATGCACTCAGGAATTACTCCTGGCAGTGCTTAGAAGACTATGTAGGATGCTGGCAATCGAACCCCGGTTGGCCATGTGCAAGGCAAATGCCCTATCCGATGTGCTATCACTCCAGCCCCACTTACATCATTTTTTTTTTTTACCCAGCTATGCTCAGGGGTTATTCCTGGCTCTGCACAGGTCGGCCGCATGCAAGGCAAATGCCTTACCCACTGTGCTATCGCTCCAGCCCCTTTTTAAAGTTTTCTTTTTTTGTTGTTTTTTGTTTTTTGGGTCACACCCAGAGATGCACAGGGGTTACTCCTGGCTCATGCATTCAGGAATTACTCCTGGCCATGCTTGGGGGACCATATGGGATGCTGGGAATCGAATCTGGGTCGGCCGCGTGCAAGGTAAATGCCCTACCCGCTGTGCTATCACTCCAGCACTTACATCATTTTTGACCTTGAGTTGGGTCACAGAAGTTTTTTGATGTAACAAAAATACAGTCCATAGAAAGGCAGAGTAATGAATGAACAGGTCTCTGAAGGAAACCTGAATGAGTCAGGAAGTATTCCTCCTAACAAAAATCTTTTGAGATAAAGGCAATTAAGGAGCAGTAAATATATATTTAAAAAAATTCCTTTTCTGCCTGCAGGCAAGATAAAAATTCTCCATTCACAAGAGGCAAATGCATTCAAGAGGGGATATCAGAGGAATCTGAAAGAAACCTTCCTCCCTTGGTTTCCTTCCAGATATTTACCTTCTCCTGATATGCCAACCTCAGATACCTAAAATTGCTTTCCTTTGTCCAGTCTTCTTTATTTTTCTTTCTGAGAAAAGGCAGGCCACATCCAGTAGTGCTCAGGACTTAATGCCTGACTCTGCTCAGGGATTACTCCTGGCAACGCTCAGGGAACCAGACACAGTTCCCAGAATCCAACTGGGAATAGTCACATGGAAAATAAGTGCTCTAAATCCTGTTCTATCTCGCTGGCCCCTGTCCAGTTACTTCTTTACACATGTATTATTTGTTGTTTTGTTTCTTTTGTGACCACTCCCAGCACGGTGCTCAAGAGTCCATATGGTAAGGGTATAAAACCAGGGGTTCCCAACATGCAAAGCAATTTGTTGAGACATCTCCCTGCCCATATGTATTGTTCTTTGCTGAAGATGCTACTTAACCAAAACCAAAACACTAAATTGCATTTAAAATCACGTTTTGGGGGGCTGGAGCAATAGCACAGCAGGTATGGCATCTGCCTTGCAAGCAGCCAACCCGTGTTCGATTCCTAGCATCCCACATGGTCCCCTGAGCACTGCCAGGGGTAATTCCTGAATGCAGAGCCAGGAGGAACCCCTGTGCATCGTCAGGTGTGACCCAAAAAGCAATAAATAAATCACTTAACTTCCCGTTAGTCGTCGATTTGCTCGAGCGGGCGCCAGTAACGTCTCCATTTGTCCCTGTCGCGTGCTTGTGTAGCCCAATGGCATCTGTTCGCTCCGGGAACATGAAGGGCCTCAAACCGATCGTTCATGATCTTGACGAAGAAGTCTGACCATCTGGTAGGTGGGCGGCCACGCGGTCTCTTGACATCCCGTGGAATCCAATCAGTAACAGCTCTAGTCCAACGGTCGTCTTTAAATCTCATTACGTGACCAGCCCATCTGATTTTCGACACCTTGGCAAATGAGACAGCATCCCTGATCCTTGATCGTCGACGGATGTCAGAACTCCGGATTCTTTCTCTCATTTGAGTGAAACGTGATATTCCAAGCATAGCTCTTTCTATTCTTCTTTGGGAGACCTGAATGGCGTTCTCATCTTGTTTGCGTAGGGCCCAGGTCTCTGAGGCATATGTTAATGCAGGAAGAACAGTGGAATCAAAGAGATGTGCCCGGAGCCGGAGGTTCTTCGTCCTCTTAGCTATTTCTTCGACGTTCTTGAAGGCGTTCCAAGCTGCTCTCTTCCTCCTGCGCAGCTCGGGTGCCAGGTCATTTGTCATGTTGACCTCTCGACCTAGGTACACATAGCTGTTGCATTCGGAGATGGTCGTTCCATTGAGAGCGAATGGGGCGTCAGGAACAAGGCTGTTTCTCATAAACATTGTCTTCGTAAGATTCAGCTGTAGTCCTACCTTTCCACACTCACGGTCAAAGTCGGCCAGCATTTGTGCCGCTTGGCTGATGTTTGGTGTTATTAAAACAATATCATCAGCAAAGCGGAGGTGGTGTAATTGCCGATCATCTATCTTCACTCCCATTCCTTCCCATTCCAGTCGTCGCATGATGTTCTCGAGGGTGGCACTGAAGAGTTTCGGTGAAATGGTATCACCCTGCCGCACCCCTCTCTTGACATCAACGATCACTTCTTTGTAGAATGGTGAGATCCTGGTAGTGAATCCGCAATACAGCTCACGGAGGATCCTGATGTATTGGGCTTGAATGCATTCAAGCCCAATACATCAATAAATAAATAAATAAATAAAAATAGAATCACGTTTGGTTCAGGTAGTCCTTAACTAGGATGTGCTCCCCCCCCAAAATTAGTAATTACTGGGAACATTGGTGGTGGAGAATAGGCACTGGTGGAGGGAAGGGTACTCAACCATTGTAAGACTGAAACGTAATCACGAAAGTTTGTAAGCCTGTAACTGTACCTCATAGTGATTCATTAAAAAAAAAAAACTTGCATTTCAATATAAAAATAAAAAACTGGAGCCAGCAAAGCTGGCCCATTGATAAGTTCTGTAATGAGTTTACCATTTGTAAACTTAAAGTAAAATAAGAAATGAGTTTCCTGTTCATAAATAAATTTTATTAGAACATAGTTGTACTCATTTTTTAACATGTCATCTGCAAATATAACCATGCATATGATTCAGTGATTCACTATGTGGCTCTTTAAGAAGTAATTATTATTGAGGGCTGAGTGATAGTACAGTGGAAGGGCATTTGCCTTGCATGAGGCTGGGTTTGATCCCTGCCAGGTGTGATCCTCCCCCCACCCCACCCCCGGGGGGGGGCAGGGGGAATAATTGTTCTTTTTTTCTCTTTTTACATAGAGTTATGGCTAATAGGGTGATGGGACAGTGTCAGGGGTAGGGTACATTGAGGGTCAAGGTTACATTAGGGTTCCAGTTAGGGCTAGGTTTTCACTAAGGATGATGTGTAGGTGTAGGATCACATTTAGGGTTAAATTTAGGACGAGGCTTAAGGAGATAGTTAGGTTTAGGGTTAGATTTGGGGTTACCTGTAGGGTTAATATCTAAAGACCAACTGGACAATACGTACAGTCCAAGTTGGGTTCATTGCCTTGTAACAGGAGTGGTAAATTATGGGGAATTTCTTTTGAGGAGGGGTGATTTGGGGAGAATTGTGCCATATCCACAGCACTTGGAGAGGCTCAGGAACTATTCCTCACTCTGTGCTCAGGAATAATCCCGGGTAGTGTTTGGGGGACCGGATGTGGTATTGAGCAGCTAACCCTGGTGAACTCATGCAAGGGCATTCATTA